GTTTTTTATAGTCATTTGTGGTATACTGGTCTCATTTCACCCTGCCATGCCCCCCGAATTCTTCCCAGAAAGACCAGGTTTCACTATAGCCTTCACTGCTAAGGAGATAAGCCTGTCCAGGTTACTGACTTTAGGGGTTTATTCCCTTGGCTTGCACAAACCAATACTTCAACATCTAAATGAGTAATTAATTGTCTTCCTTTGGCTACCAAATTAGTCAATATTAGCCTTGAGTAAATAGCTTAAAGAGTAGAATGATCACTTAGCGGGTAAGCTAGTGGTTAATAATAGAGGCTCTGGAGTTAGATTTATAAGCTGTAGATTTGAAGCTCTACCTCTTATTAGCTGTGAAGCCTTGAGTAAGTTGATTAACCTCTTATGCTTCATTTTATTCATCTAAAAAATGGGATAAGGTATGAGAATTAATAAGTTTACTACTGAAGTGTAATAAATACATCATATAAGCTATTAGCACTGGCCTTCAATCTCAGTTTCTGTTTAAAACAATATTCTTATTCCTCAGCTTTAAAATAAGCACAGTAATACCCACTGCCACAGTTGCTGTAGGACCTGAGAAAATGTAACTCTGAATGTCATTGGCACTGAAATTTGTAGGTTCAAAAGTATTAATAATGGGACTTTTCTTTTAAATCAGATTTTCAGAATAAACTATGCATGTTCCTTTTTATTTCTCTCCAAGCAGGAAACATGACTTAGATTAGACTTTGTGTGTTTCTAGTCTAAGCTTCTAGTCTACATTTTTATCTACTGAACTTTCTTTTTAATGACCTCATGGAAAACAGCATCCCAACCCTCGAGAATTTCACAATCACAATGCACAACCAAGCTGCTTAGCCAGATGAGTCGCCTCTAGTGCCTTCTAGAGATGATTTATACCAGTAGTTCTCAAACTTTTGCAAGGAGGGCTTGCCAAATCACAGGTTCTTGGGACCCAAACTCATACATTCTGATTCAGTAGGTCTGGAGTAGGGTCCTTAAATTTGCATTTCCTACAACTCCCCAGGGGATACTAAACTGATACTTCTGGACTAGGGACCACACCTGAAGTAGCACTGGTCCACACAGACAACTTAGAGAAGTTTTTGGGAATAAGTCAATATAAAATAGAATAATTCTTGCCAAACAACTGATAATGAGTTGGGCATCAACATTTATCAAGACAAGCGGAAAATAGTCACACTGCCATAAAACCCTATGTTAATAGATTCTAAGACCATAACAATAATAATAGGCAACTATTGAGTTTTGACTATGTACCAGATTCTTTCTAAGTCCTTTGCACATATTAAATTTATTTTTATATTTTTTTATTTTATGGATGTATTTAAAAATTAATAATAGCATTTTCTGGATCATCTCAATGACCGCCATATATTGCCATTCAAACTAAATGCTCTCATTTTTGTTTATGCCCATGATCTCATTAACAGAAGTGGTACGATTTATTTGTCAAAGCTGTGAAAAAGTGGCAGAGATAAACTTAATATGCATAAGATTTACTCAGTTCATGGATGGCCAAATGGAGCTCTAGGTGAAAGGAGGTTTAGATGAACTAATTGCTTGATCAGAAAAAAGCAGTGGGGAACTGAGGCCTCACATGACATGCGGTATAGGCATACCAAACCCAAAAGAAACTGTGCCTTAGTCACATTTTGAGCAACAAAACCACATAATCTAAATAGTCTATTATTTTCTTGATTTTATATATTTGTTCGTATTTAATTTTATAAACTCATTTTGCTTTTGTTGATGTATTATTACATTGTACACTTGAAACATATAATTTTATTAACCAATGTCACCCCAATAAATTTTATTTAAAAAAACAGCATAAGAATTTAATAAAAGCAATTCGAGTCAACATTAGAAAGATGGCCCACTTTGAGAAAGCTCCATATATAACTTAAGTTTGAGAAACTCTGTGTTATAATAGTATTTTAACTGAATAGTCTATACCAGTGGTTCCCAATGGGGCAATTTTGCTCCATAGGGGACATTTAGCAATGTCTCCTGTAATTTTTGGTTGTCACAACTAGGGGGTTGATAATGGTATTTAGTAAGTAGAAGCCAGGGATGCTGCTAAACAACTCACAATGTATATAAGACATTCCCCTATAACAAAGAGTTATCTGGCCCAAAATGTCAATAGCATTGTGCTTCAGAAACCTGGGTCTAACTTTCTCTTTCATCAATTCACAGCAACAGGAGGGGCAAGATGAACTATAGATATTTTTTACTTATGAAATTTACAAACTAGGTCAAAATACAAGACAAACAGACATGAAATAATTAAAACATTATAAACTGTGGATTCAGAGTAACAGCCAGTTTTTGACTAGAGCTACTACAAAGCTCTTTTTCTTTCATGTAAGTCAGCAGTTTATTTTTCAAAACTCCATGTAGAATTTTATTTTTATTTTAATCCAACTTTCAAGCTGGTCATTTTTAAACTTTTATTTTTCTAACCAATTAGCAATCCCTCCCTGCTTTATCTCAACTCTTTTCTTAATTGTCACATAAGTGGATTTCTACCTCCATCAGTCTGCCTCAAGAAAAAATTGTCACCAAATATGGAGGTTGAAGTATAATATTTACTTTTATTATTTGGAGGTATGAAAGAATTAAATATTGTAAAAGATTGTGAATGTATTTTTACAACGTAGAGTTACATATACCAACTACCAGTGATGAACATGGATTTTCATTATGTCATTCAAAAAACATTCATTCCATAATTACTATGTACCAGGCACTGTGTGGGATGCTATGGGGAGTGATAGAGCTAAAAAAGACATAATCTATCCCCTCAAAGAATTTATAAGTTATTTTTTTACCTGTAAAAACTTGACTCTCCACAAAAAGTATAAGGATATTTTGTAGACCGTAAATGAGCTCTTTTAAGTTTTCTTTCTAGATGTGTTTTAATTTTTAAATTCTGAGCATAAACACTACTTAATTTTTAAAAAATCTAATGAAATCACACCAAGTTTTTAAGAGGTGACTAGTGTAGTTTTACATAATCTGATCATTTGCACTTTCAAAGGTTTGAAACATCCTCAAGCCATTCTTATGTGACTGTTTATTTTTATGGCAATCTTTGGCATCTGGAAACCTGAATTTGGCATACCATTCAACAGATTCTGCTCAAGGGCAGTTCTTATTCAGCCGTAGAAGTTAGCAGAGTGCCTAACACACGGTAGCATTCCATAAATACTTGTCAAATGAAGAAATACAAAGATAAATAGGTTAACCTTCTAGTCCACTCTGTCCTTTTTTCTGAAATTTTATAAACTTATTATCTGTGCCTTTACTGGGAAAGTAATCATATAGGACTTTATATGGAGTCATTGTATTTCATGTGTTGTATTTTATCCATTCTAAATGGATTGCAATTTCATTGATTCTCACACAGCATCTCTCATAGATCTATGTTCTCATTAAATGAAATATTTGTTGAATATAAGCTATTATTACTTCTTTCTTTCCCTTTGATTTTTTTCCTCTGTTTCTCAATTAACTAAAGTAAGTGAAAATGTATTTTTAAATATCCTTTTAATAAAGTCTTATTCTCCTTGATCTTAATTTAAAAGAGATATAAGTTCAAGTTTTTCTTTCTTTAAAAACTAAAAAATTAAAAAAAAAACCCCACAATCATAAATTTATTTTAACTGTGTATAAGGTTCTAAATAGAAAAAAGGTTACTTATATCTAAACTAAATATTCTAACTAGCATTTCCTAGAGGTCTATGACATCCCAACAAAGGTGAAGAGACAGGAAGAGGTACAGGCAGAGAAGGAAAAAATGGGAAGTTATCTGTAAAAAGGGAAGACTCCATTCTGAGGGATTTCAACAACCAAGGTAGTGAAACCTTAACAAAGAGAAAATCGCCAACCAAAAGATGCTTATCTTAAAAAAAAAAAAAGAAAGAAAAGAAAAGATGCTTACCTTTGCAACCCTCGCAGGTTAGTGCGTTATAATGGTATCCAGATGCTCTGTCTCCGCAAACGACACAGAGCTCATCCCCTTTTATTCTCCCTGCGGATGCTCCCACTCGGGCCTTCTTTGTTACAGGAATCTCTGCTACCTCAGTCACTCCCTGGTAGAGAGTCTCAGCAGGCATTCGCCTGAGTTCATATATTCCTGGAGAGTACCATTCTTCAGGCTGTTGGGGATAGAAACCCAGGTTGGGATAATAGGATGATGAGGAAATCTGAGGTTGAACTTGAGGAAACTGAACATTGTTGTATTGTGAGTATGATTCCACTTCTAGGTTCTGTCCCAGAGGACCTGCTGCTTGTTCTGTGAGTACACCTGAACAAAAGTGACAACAAAACCGGAATTAACATCATCATAAATTAGAGGGTCAGTTTTAGCATCTGGTCAGAAATGTGGGCCCTAAGACTGAAATATTTAACTATATAAGAATTAACAATTTTTTTACATAAAAAAGCCTACAGAAAAGATTTAATGACTAAATTAAAAGCTCATAAAAATATCTACAACAGAAAGAACAGGCCAAATACTCATATCATTAATGTGTGAAGAGCTCTTGCAAACCAGTAATAACAACATGGAAAAAAAGGAAAACAAACAGGAATGTTTAAAAAAAAAAAAGAGGAAATGAAAAAGTATGTTGAAGAAGATTCAACATGGAAAATATTCAACATTCCATGGAGAAAGGGATAAAGGACATGACTGGACAGTTTTTAAAAACATAAGTGTGTTATAAACATACGAAAATGTGCTCATCCTTGCCATTTATTAAAGTTAAACTGAAACTGCAATAGAAAATATTAGTGTTTTCATCCTTAAATGTATAAGGTTAAAAAAAGTTTGACAATACACACCCTTGGGAAAGCGAAATTCTTGGAGGGCAATTTGTCAATATTTTTCAGCATTTAAAACTCAAATATTCTTTTAACTCAACAATCCACTGCTAGAAATTTTATTTTAAAGGTATATTGCATCTGTATGAAAATATGTTTGTGTAAAGATATTCATTTGCAGCAACATTTGTAAGAACCATAAATTGAAAACAATGTAAATATCCATCAATAAGAGTCTGGTTAAATAAATTATATTATGTCCATACACTGAAATGCTATACAAATGTGAAACAATAATTTAGATCTATATGTGCTGATATGGAAAGGTTTCTACAATGTGGTGTTATTTTAAAAAAACTAAGTTAGAATAACGTATATATTTATGTGATTAGAAGAACTGCATATGTGTGCGTGCACATGTGTGCATACACATGCACACAGCATTTTTTTCACCATACAAAAGGAACTGAATGATGGTGATTGTAGAATGTGAGATAGCTGCATTGTTTTCTGGGGTTGGAGACTGCACGACCTTTTTATTGTTTGCAGTTTTTGCCATGTGTATATATTATTTTAATCATTATAATAGAGAAGTTTTTTAAAAATGTATTGCCTTAAATTAGTCTACCTGGGTTCAAATCTCAGCTCTATTGTTTATTATATATGCATAATGGCTATTAACAGTTTTAAGGCACAGTTTTCTCTTCACAAAACAGGGCATAATACCTACTTCATTAGGTTGTTGTAAGGAATTAATGAGATAATGGATGCAAAATGCAAACACTTTGCTAAATGTGTACACACATAAAGTGCTAGATAAATTATAGCTGCCATCAAAATAGTAATAATAATAATTATTCCTACTATTATTATGAAATGAGCCCTTCATAGATAAAACCTCTAGGTAATAGAAAACTATCAGATTGTGAAAATGATTCTATTTCCTAGAAACATAAATTATGGCTCTTTAGAAAATAGCAGTTTTTAAATTATACGAAACACCCAAAAAAGTTCATAGACATAAATAAGATATATGGAAGTATACAAATATGTCTGATTCTTCAAAGCAGAGTCAGGCAACACTCTACTAAAATCCCAACCCCACCTCTTACGAACAATGAAACTTTGAGCAAATTAAAATACTGATAACCCCAGTTTTTACAGCAGCAAGCTTGGGATGAGGATCAAAAGAAATAATACAGATCCACAGATCCTCATCTGATCCTCATCTCATCCTCACCTTTGGATCACTTGTGTTTTGAAATGTAGAGTTGTTTGGATTTTAGAATAGAAAACCGTACTATTTCTCCCAGTATCGTCTGGGACAGAATCCAGAACCCAACAGCAATATTTTCTACAATGTAATGTATAAATATTCACACTAAAAGGAATAACTAAAGGCCATAAATATCCTCACGTTCATTCGGGTCAGGTTTTGCCACCAAGAAACTTGTGCCAAACTTTTAAAAAGATGCTTTATTTTCAGAGTTTTGAAATTTGTCAATTTGTGGTTGTGGATCTATAAATCTAAACACATAGAATGCTCTTTTTAGTGCTCAAAAGATGACTGATACCATAATTATTGTTAGAAAACTATAATAAAGAACTCTTTACTGGAGTTCTTCTTAGTGCCAGACATTTGTATATCCTCACTTCTGTCCCACAAAATCCTAGGAGTTAAGTAACATTATTATCCCCACTTACAAATGAGTAGCCCGAGGCACATAGAAGTTAGGCAGCTTTAATCCTAACAACCTAAGTAGCTAAAATTTGAATTTTGGGGAGTCTGACTTCAAAGCCCACGTGCTGAAATGTTCCTCTCTGGGATCATTTCAGATGTGTGATGCTTTGAAGCATCATATAGCAAAGGCTTTAAAATAGTAAAGCCTTTCTCTTCCTCTCTCTGTAGTTGAGATCCTTAGTCTCTTCAATGCCTCTACTTGAAGATATAACTAGATCTGCAAGGCTCTGCATGACCCTACCCTTCCTCCCTTTCTTCTTCCCTCCTTCCCTCCCTCTCTCCCTTTCTTCCTTCCTTTCTTTCTTTTCCAGCTTGTCTGTTCTGACTTGTCTGTTCCTTGAATGTGCCTTGCTGCTGCCAGACATAGGACTTTCCTCCATACGCTATTTCTTGAGCCCAGAATTTTCCTCAACATGGCCGACTTCTCCGACAGCTCTTCTCGCTAAGATCCACTTAACTCTAAATTTCTCTTGAAGTATAGTTTATCTTGGGAAATTTTCCCTGACTCTAAGACCCTGGGCATCCTGGTTCTGAATCTAGTTAATCAGTACTTACCTACCCATTCTGGGTCAACCTTTGCTCATCTGTAAAGAGAAGACTTCATGCTAGTTGATCTCATAGTTCTTTATATTGAAAATGTCTATAAGTATATGACTAATAGTCTATGAACATTAGAATTTAGGGCTTTGTGATAATGGCAAAGTGGAGTATATGCATATTTAATGTTTGTTGAAGAGAATGCTTTCCACAATGACCCAGGAAATGATAGACAGAATACAAAGTATATAATATCTGTGCAAAGATCAATTTCCTCTCTTTCATGCTTGCCTTATCCATATAAAACCAGGACTGAATCAGAATATCTGGCAGAAGTTTTGTCTAATGACCACGAAATGTGAGAATATAAAAATGTGGAATTATTACAGGAAAAAAAAGGGTATAAGCAAAATCCTGATCTATTTCATAACTATGACTAAAATCTCTGGAGTGAATAGGACTGAAAATAACTAAAAAGTATTAAAAACATTAGTGTCACTTGCACTTATACCTAGATTTTATCTTCCAACCCATCTTGCCCCACTCAACTCCTCATCTCCACCCTCAGCCCCAGTTCCTCTCCACCTACATGTCCAATAAGTCTAAACAACTTGCCTGAGGTCAGTCTATTAATGACAATCTGGATTCTGTAGAATCCAAAGAAATGTATAATATTTTTCTCTTTACATGACAATTCCAAGGTCTCTGAGCATTATTTCAACAAAACAAATCTTTTAGTAATTGACAGATATAATGGAGTCCCAAGTCAGATCATGGTATCAATATCATATCACTCTGGAATCATCTTTGTGAAAATGGAAAACTTTCACAAAGACATCAATTCTATTATATGAAAATAACAAAGCATGGTAAGAATATGAGATCAGTATACAATATTAAAAAATAACACCTCTATTTCAAAAGCATATCCACATCTAGTATTTTACAGTGTCCCCACCAAATCTCTACAGAGGCAATAAATATGCAGGAAACTTACAACTCCAAAAGCAGAATGGCCGACATATTCCAAAATGGCGAGACTAGAACAATTTCCACCATGAACTGACTGTGAGATCTTGAATGACTGCCTAATATTTTTGTTTCAATTTCTTCTGTAAAATGGGATTATTAACACCCACTCTTGCTACCTCATAAGGTAGTTCTGAGGATAAAATACGGTCATTGAAAAAAGGTTTTGAGAAGTTGAGGGCCATAAAAAGATATGTCTGTTTCCTGAAGAATCTAGCAATATCCTTATTCTAATGACAGTTAGTTGATAGTTAATTAGTAATTATTAATACCTACCAGTCTGTTTTGATGATATAAATGATAGGATACGTTTTCACTTATATATATTAAACACTTACTCTTCGCCAGACACTGTGCTAGGCTTTGAGGATAAAATAGTGAATAAAACAGATAGAAAAGCCACAGCCTTTCTCGTGTGTGTGTGTGTGTGTGTGTGTGTGTGTGTGTGTGTGTGTGTGTGTGTTTGGTGGGGGGCGGCGTTAGTTTGTGGGGAAAGGGATGTCAAAGGCTGAGATAAAACCAAGTAAACAAATACAGAATTTTTTAATAGAGCATAAGATGTAGAGGGGGCAGAGGTAGGTCAATTGTAAAGTATACTTTCTGAAAAGGAAAATTTATTTCTACTTTGATGTAGTTTAAAGAGAAATATATTTGCATATATACATCTATGCATACATGTGTGTATTATATATGTATATATATTTGAATTTGTGAGTGCTTTTTTGGAATCAGTCTATCAAGGAGTGGAAAAATTTGGATTCTTTTATGACAGGAAATCCTCTATGAGAGTTTAGGGAAGAGTTTTTAAATGAGAATACTGGATTGGATTCCAGGGGAGTCTGAGATCCTCTGCACAGGAAAGTAAAATTCTTCTGGGTAGAGAGTCTCTAGCATTTAACAGTTTCTCGAAAGGTGTACCATCTAAGGAAACTTTCAGAGATGATGGAAGTGTTCTATCCCTACCAACATATTAGCCACTAATATGGAATATTGAGCATTTGAAACATGACTAGTGATAATAAAAAAATGAATTTTTTATTTTATTTATTCAAATAATTAAAAATTTAAATAGTTACATTTGGCTAATGAATACCATATTAAACAGTACAGTTTGTGATCAGAACCACTTTGTACCTAAACGGGGGAATCAGGTTCACATAATAACAATGGCACTTTCT